TTTTCTTTTAAGAGACAAAATCCCATATGACGAACGACATATCTTTCGTGCTTCATCAGGACTTTGAGTAACACCAAAACAAGATAAAATAAGATAAGAAAAATAAGATAGTGGGACGCATGGAGGCAAAAGCTGAGTATAGAGGGTGACCGTTAATGAAATGATCAACTTCAATTTATGCCGGACAAAGTTTGCAATATCCGCTCGGTCTACTAAACTCACAGTGAACTCTCCTTGACCACATATGCCGCCCGCATATCTTGGCGATACTTATACCGATCGATTAAAAGAATGACGACAGATTAACATTGGTGACACTCAAAAGCGGCTCAAGACGAAGCTTGGTCACTTCAAACTTCCTCTGTCGATAAAAATGGAACAGCCTCTGATAACCCTACATCACGTACCGATTTATCGTGTTAATGACCCTAGAGAATGTCGAATAAACAAATATGTTACCTCGTCACCAGCAAGCCCTTATGGCTCAATCCAGACTTACCCAACACCCCTTAACGTGCCTTGAGACTAATAAATGTATGTGCTTAAGAAAAACAATGACAACTTTTTCGTCGCTTAAAAATGGGACAGTATGGAACGTTGGGAACAACACCACATCCTTCTATAAGATTAAAACCCAAATTTCTGTCATGAACAAGAGAATGGCAAGAAGACACATATGGCACATTGTCAGCATTCTGACTTTGCCTGCCCAGCTACATTCAGGTCAGGTTATGGCTTAAGAAGAATGGAATAAAAGCCGTACAGAAAAGCTACACTACTAGCGCCGTCTACTTCTCAAGGTTGAATGAAAACCCGCCCTTATCAAAAACCTATAAATGGAGCTGCGGCTTTGAAAAAAGCAACCTCCCTGTATTTTCACAAATGAAACTACTCACAAGGTTAGTGAAAACTCTTCGACAGCCCACGACGGTTTCATCAGGCTCACAGGCTCATCAGGTAGGCGCAGTCCCCGAGTTCCCATCAACCTTATGTTCTATTTGAACCCAAATTGGACCGCTTTTCGAGAAATACACTCGTTTGCAAATCAATTTGGTTTTCACGAAAGACTCAACTGAGTTTCTCGTTTATGATATTCTACGAGAGATTCAGTTGAGTCTCTGGTGAAAACAAAATTGATTTGCAAACAGGTGTATTTCCCTCTGTATTTTCTTCAGGATACTCAACGAACGTATAGTGTTCTGTCAGGTTCTTCAGTCTAGAATGGGTTTCAACTAAACAGTAATCTATAGAAAAACAAATAAAATTCGTCTGTTTTGAGTGCGTGAATTCACTAATACAGTTCTAAGGGCCGCTTTGTTTGACTCTTTTATTGGTGAACTTATGCAGTCAAGAGGACTTGTAACCTAGATCATAGCCTTGCATGAAGAAGGCATGAGAAGGATCATCCCTTTTTCCACGCTATAACGCCTGAGTCTCACAAATGGATAATAACGGTGTGAGTCATTTCATGACAGATATTCACATAATTTGAGAAAGTAACTCAGCTAGAAATTATCATCCTCGTAAATGCACACAAAACCTTTATTGCCAGTGAAAAATGAATATTTTGGAGCAGTTAACCGCCTTTTGCAATCCCTAAGAGGTTCACCTTTGTGAAGTAATGCAGCATTACAGTATCACTGTCATCGACTCATTAATATTTGTCCCCGAGAAGATTAGCAAACAAGAGTAAGTTAAAAACTTCATTTCATTCAACACCATGTAAGGCGAATGAGACAGAAGCATATTCCCATATCGNAAAAGTGGGTTACCTAGAATAGACCATCATCCAGCAGATATATTCAAAAAGAAAAATATCTGTATTCGTCTGTCGGGATCGGATAATCCCATTAGACTGACCCAAAACAAGTCTATGTAGATTACCATACCAAAGTTTAGTGATTTGTTTTCAATGTCTTTACTTCACTAAGTTGCTTGGTAGATTTTTCCTTAATTAATAGACGACTGAAGACAGAAAGTTTATAAAATTATGACGTATTTTACTGAGATAGTTCAACTTTAGAGAAGTCAAAAATGGCGACAGGCCCCAGAAACCAAAATCCCAGCCCCAGGAGAAGGATTGATCAGAATTTCAAGCGAATATATAAAGCTTATGTGAAGTCTACAAGCAAAAGACGACATGATCCCTCAGCCTAAGTGATTCACACACGAGACGGACACAACCGAACTTTTTAGATCAGCGAAAAGCGCTATTAATGTAGTGATGAGGTAGAAAAATTTTGATCCACACTTAGTATTGCATTTCAGCACTTTATGCTGAAGCTGTTTTATTATCGTTGGAGATCACCAGTAGTGCACACCACAGGGAACTCAAGTGAGATTCGACTCCATGACAACCTGAATGGTATTTGAACCCTGCATCGTTTGGCAAAAACTGATCGACCAGCGGACTGTTTCGTCGACGAGATGACGCTACATCATTTTTGGACCGCTTAAGCTACGTCATGTGCCCTGGAAGTGACTGGCTACCCAACGATTACACAAACCGTGGATCAGGGAGAGTTATAAGAGATTTCGGTTTCTAAACAGATTGTTTGGAATCCGTGTTTTGGGTTATTAGTAGATCGGGTCGGTTGCACTATTGTTAACCCATTTTATCAGCCCTAAAAACTTTTCGTTTGCTCATTTCCTTTGTCTCATGCAGTGACATTAGGGCCCCATATTAGTTTTTATACAATTCAAAGTAATTACCAGACTTACCGTATTAAACTCCTTCGCCATTGCTAAATGGGTAATCGAGTACAGTTCATCCTCACGTGACACAGTAGGCGTCAAAGCGCACTCCAACAACTCCACCCAACTTCCATTTCTTCCGTACGGCCAATCAAATTCAGCCGAGCATGTAAGCAGTGTATTCTGGTGGGGCGGTGAGGAACACTCAGAAATTTATCAAAAGGGAAAAGATTAGCCGTGGACTTGTTATAAAGAAACCTTTCAGATAAAACTGGGTTTTTTCGCTAGCATTCAGATGGGAATATATACCAGCCAAAATAAATTTCAGTTATCACAACTCGTACAAATTGCCTGTGTGACCCTTTCGAAAGTATTCATCAGTTCCATTCCGAAACCAGTACAGACCATTGTCGTTTCGATTTGACGCCCACTGCAACTTCTGTGTCCACGTGCATCCGTTCTTATAAATTTTTTAAGGTCCAAGAAATATGCCCAACCCATTTATATTAGCTGAACCCGATGGAAATTCTTTCTCCAGTTTATAGCTTGCACTATTTATTTCATGCCTTTTCTTGACATGAATAATTCAGTTCCCTTGGTGTGACCCTAAGCGGTCCACCTAATGATCAGAATTCTGTGAACTGTTAAACACTCTATTTTATCTACTGTTCCATAACTTATATACGGGGTGGACGTTGTCAGTCGACAAATTTGAGTGTTTTGAATGCTGACGGATCCCAAAATGTATCTGAGAATAGAAAAAAATTTTGCAACTTTCATCTTGTTAACCCTTCGTGATTTATCTCACCATTAGTCACACCACCGTCGTTGAATACTTGGTGAGCAGCGTTATTGTGGAGTAATAATGCACCTCAACACCGAAAACTTACGACGAAAAACATGAAAATGTAGGATGGGACCGTATCCGGTGAAGATAGGCGTTACAAAGTTTCATTGAGTTCGTTATGAAATCCCCTGCTATTTAACAAGATCACAAGCAGCATCTCCGCTGTCCACAGTGATAATTATTAGACACGGATAAGCATTACAAAAGCCTAAGTAACCTATTGAGAAAACGAAGTCAAAGGAATTCTGCACCAGTATTTCCTCACCAATTCCTTTCAGGGAGTTGATAATTTACGGTAGAGTTTACAGTTTGCAATAAAGAGAGCTGCTAAATTTTTCAGGTACCTCACATAGTAACGCGGTCTACCACTTACTTCGGGCAGCTTGTCGTAGCATTCACTAGAGTTTGCGTTCTGTGCTTCCAGACACCCGGTAAGATTCCATTTGTATTCCAGGATGGCCATCTTCTTGGACGACTATGAATTAACAGTCTTCAAGTATGACCAATCACTTACATTTTTCACAATATAAAAGTATTCGGTATAAGGAGCATCAGGAGGCAGCTGACTTTTCTGCTTCAGTTGTTCACCGATGTCTCTGATAACCTCTTGATATGCCTTGGTGGATTTGATCAATTTTTCGGGTTGTGTATGGATTTCCCGCACTGGTGTGCCACTGTCGAACCCCTCGGCTCGTAAGCACTCGGAGGTATCGATCATCACATTATGATTGTCCCAAACTCTTTGCCAGACTAAGAATGCACAACTAACATTCACCTGTTTGAACGGAAGAATTGATTCACTTCTATTGCATGGAGTTAAAATGCAAGAAGGTAAAAGGAAATACATTTTAAAAAATGAACTCGGTAAAAAATGAACGCTGCTTTAATACTCTGTTGGGTCTGACCTCTTGAAGTAGGCAATCAGTTGCCCATTGGTCACAAAGTTATAGGGGGGGAATTTGTCAGATGTGTAGTAGCTCTTTCTCACGACAAGAACAACTTTCCCATCAAATGATTCTAGTTACCACCTCTTCCAACGATCGTAAAACATATCGTCAGTCGCTCCTATCACGTTTTTACATATTATAAGATTCAGGCGTCTGAGGCTCGTGCAAAATTATGGGGGGCAAGTTCGACATTTTTGAATGTTTTTCTCTTCCGTGCACATACTATCATGCATGTATTATCATCAGGAGTTCCAGTGCGCTTTTGATTCTGTGAGAAACCTAATTAGGCCTCTCGGAATGCACCCCATATTTTACCGCAACTGAATCCGTCTAGGATTACTTCAGCGGTGCCGCATCAAACAACGCAGTGTGCCAACACACATGCCATCTTTTGAATCCGTGAATTGCAAATTCAGGGAAAGAGCAACAGAATTCAACAATTCACCATCCAGGAAAATGGTGATAGATCTGGCAGCACACGTCATCTTTGATTCATCGCCTGAAATGGGTAGTTAGATTGCAAATGTTTCATCACAACTGAGACGACATCATCAGTCCGCCCTTGTGTACGGCAGTGTGGTGTTGCATCAGAGGTTGTGCGCAGCAACCAGCGGTTGACATTTTGTTTTGTGCTAGAAATCAAGTCACCGTGGTAATCGAAAACCACGAAGGAGATTAGGTACTAGACCGTACCACACACTTCAACCAATGATGGGTTTTCGGTAGCTCAATTTACAGAAAAATTTGTTCATAATCTCAACTACTATCGATATTCGGGAAGGAAGCAAAATACAGCAGACGAAAAACTTTGAACACTATTCTTGATACACTGAAAATAGAATTCTCCCGCTTCGTGTAGCCTCCTGATGCTTTAGATGAAGAGGTTACGGCGGACAAACCACGGTGGAGTGTCTGTCTCCCTTAATTCGCGAATTTTAAAGTTGAGTAATGAAAATCTTGTGTGCGTCGATGTATCGAAAGTACTGCGGATGATAAACAGAACATCTTCTGTTTGTTCTCCTACATAATTTATTTTTCCCCCATTACGCTTACATCCGCGTCTGCTCTCATTCAAATAATAACAACCAGTATTCGTTCGTTTTTTTAGATAGACACTGCAATACTACCCAGATACGAGCAAAATGGAAGGATAAATGCAAACGTGAAAATCAAGCGTGTTTCTGAAGCCTACCAATCGGTCATCAAATATTCATCAAATATAGTTTTCCACCGACCGTATGCATTCTTCAAATTTTCAGTGGCTTCTGTATATTTCGAAATATTTTTGAGATTTGCCATAGAAACATTCAGTCAAAACCTCCCGGCAACTTGCATGTGACCAGGTTCCATCACAAAGAGAATGGACCTTAGCGTGGAGTGACGTTTTGTGTTTGGGCTATACTGCGGGGTGTCCGTGGGGCACTCACAGAATAGCTCATACCAGATTGGTCAGTGGTAAGAGTTCTGACGAACACAGGCTCCTGGCCCTCGAGGTTAGGGTTGGAACATGTGCAGTGACTTCCTATGTAAAAATTGAAGTGCACTTGCATTTCCCCCCGAACACCGCTGCTTTGGGGTCAGTGGCACCTGGCCCTCGATGTAAGGGGTTGGAACATGTGCAGTGACTTGCTCTGTAAAAATTGAAGTGCATTTGCATTCCCCCCCGAACACCGCTGCTTTGGGGTCAGTCTTCTTGGCCAAAGGCTTTGGTTGAAGGTCCCAGTTACCAACCTGTCCAGATATGGGTCCTCTTAATAATGATCTCATCCCACATGGGTCTTCGTATGATGTAATCAGCCGGGTCAGCTGCAAAAAGCAGGGCGGATAAGTGAAAACAGGCAACTGCCAACGCGTTCTTACTTTTTTGTCTACTTTTTCCTCCCTCTCTCCTCATCCCATTAACAACTCTCTCCGTGTGTGTCCATCAGTTGGGACTGATGACTCCATTCGTCTTACATCGGTTTTGACAGTTACATCTGCGCGTCACCCGGCATTGATATGCTCAGGAACCTCGAAACAGATATTTTAGTCCCAAGGCCCAGTCTATCTGGCTTCTTTTAGTGTTCGCACTCTGAAGCAGGCAGGACAACAAATTGCTCTTGCTCTTACACTGAAATTGATTGACATATATGTGTGTACGACAGCGAGGCAACGATGTCAAACAGTGAAGTTGTGCTGTGGATGATGATGATGATGACGATGATGAATCTAGGTTCCTGATAGTGATGGTTCATAAGGAATTGCTTTATTTATGAAATAGCTATTTATGTCGCCTTTTGACTATTAGTACCACAGCACTGGAACATTCACTTGGTGTTGATTTGGCTGCGGTTCCTTACCCAGTTAGGAGCCCATCGATTCAATTCGTCGGTATACTCTACACTCGCCATAGTAACCAATATGAAACGGTTGTACATTGCTTCGTAGCTTATCAATGTGCGTTACTTCACGCCAGGTTAAAGTAGTCCCCCTTCACTTCCTGGCTGAATGCCATCATGCCTCTAACATCTTATATTATGGATGTGTCAAGTAATGTACAGCCGCCGCCGGAAATAAACCACCGCTTAACCGATGCCAGTTAAAATAACCCTGTGAAATTTGACTTGAAAGTAATACTGACGTGTGGCCTGCCTCCCAACGATGGCCGTCTCGGTTACTTCATGAGCGCGAACCCCGTGAAATATGTATGAGGAATTCAGTAGAGCACTCATCGCCGTTCTATATCTTCCCTCTCAGCTGGGGACATCACATGGTCTCATACCCGCAACATTCGCGTTAATGTTTATATGTGAGTTTTACGGCAGACTTGCAGCAAATATATGCAACTTCTCTTCATTGACTGAATGTTGTTTCATATGGATTCACGTTAACTTTCAACAGACCTGTGATTTTAGCAGGCAAAAGCTAGCCAATTAATGTCACTCGCCAGGTGATTGAATTTCCTCTTGACCACAATAATTTGGTTGCATCTTTGAAACCAAAAAATCGCGTGCACAGAAAGACGGAGGTCATCTGAAATATTAAAAAAAACTGTGGCTCGCCTGTCACGCATTTACGGGCTTGAAGCGTCTCCTGTAAATCTCAACTTCATTATGTCAGCTTTGCAGCAAGTATCCAATTGACTTTTGGAAACTCTGAGTAAGATCTGGTCATTTACGTTCTGGAATGCCCCAGCTGTCTTCAGAAACGTGGCTGTTGTCAGCTCATTAAATCAGAAAACAATAGCTTCACCTTTCTAATAGTTCCATCTCCTCAAGAGGCTCACCCTCGTCAAGTCAGGTTTTCAACAAGTCACTTGTTGTTGTTTACCTACAAAGTCTGCATCCACGTTTATGAAAACCAACACTCGCATACATACTGATATTCACTTTTGCGCTTTTAGGCATATATAGCCCAGTGACCTTTGAGTAAACCACTATCATTTTTATGTCGCAGCTGTAAAGTCAGCATATCTGTATCCCCTATGTAGAAAACTTCGTTTCTGAGATAGAAACACTAGATGTGGAACCAAACTCAAGGCGGTCATAAAAAGCGCCCAGCCGAATATGACTACCTTATCAGATGAAACGCCTGTAAGAAGAGACAAAATCTGTCCCCGCAGCAAGTATTCCGAATTAAACCATTCCCTATAAGAACCCCCCCCCATCCCATTTGGTTTGGTATTCTTACCCTCAAATGTGTCTTTTAGAAAGACAGCTACAATCCCCCAGCAAAGACTATCCGAAACGCTTCTTACCTCCTCTCCAGGTACAGTTAATCTTTCGATTCACTTTACTTATCACAGCCCCTTGAAGTTCTTAAAATAGGCCTCAAAATGTACTACACATTGTAATTCTTACCCTCAAATGTGTCTTTTAGAAAGACAGCTACAATCCCCCAGCAAAGACTATCCGAAACGCTTCTTACCTCCTCTCCAGGTACAGTTAATCTTTCGATTCACTTTACTTATCACAGCCCCTTGAAGTTCTTAAAATAGGCCTCAAAATGTACTACACATTGTAATTGTTACTTGATTCACAAGCGATTCAGCTCACCTGTATCCATTGACTTAGTCGATCGAAATGCTGTCCCCGCTGGTTTCCCCATTTTCCGAGCTACAGAAACCTCTGTTCATTGTCTTTGAACAGGAGGAGGATGACCAGCACATTAAAATCCTTGACTGATAATAACTTACAACATTTCCATCTCCCCCCAGCCCTCCAACTAAAAATATACTGCCTTCCTCTCCACCGGTAAAGGCATAAGGTGATGTGAGAAAAAGTGGTAAGATTCCCTCTGACCATCCTGCTTCATCTGGAATCTTCAAACAGAACTTCGCATTCAATTAGGATTATGGTGTGTTATAACATGTATAGTAGTGAGCAGAAAGTCAGAAATATAAAATTGCTTCGTACTAATAATCGATAACTAGTCATTGGCCCGCATTATGCTGTTACATGAGAAATTGCAGATTTTTCGGGTCGAATGATGCTCAGAATCATAATCACACACTAGAACGTTCGTACGTATAAAGCAAAGCCATTTATCGATTTTTCGAAAAAAGCAGCAGCGGTATTTCACTGTGGCACCCCAATGGATCTCAGACCTATCCTGACCACATCAGTTCGTAGCGGGGAAATCACTGTTCCTCGTGCGGAAAGATCCGTTCTAGCGCTTACTTATTTAATTCCAGCCTATTTGATTGAAATACATACTAAGAGGTCTTTTATCGTGAGAAAGATAAAGTTTGTCGGTAAACTTCATACGTTCCTCGAAATTTCGTCATCATCCTAGCAATTCTATGTACTTTCTTTGTGTTCTTACAGTCGTTTATTACTCTGCGCCACTCGCTGGGAAATTCAGATTATTCTGGTGAGTCCACACCAAAGGTAAGCACTGGAGCATCCAAATCGTCTGAACAGGCGGCTTGTTTACGCTCGGACGATGTGATTGGTGTGCCCGTCTCGCATGTCAGGTATCAGAAGTTCAAATCAAATCACACCATTGGATATACACCACTGATGAGCTCTAATAAGAGCGAAACTCAAGTTCAGTGCTTGCCTCCTATGGTGTAGACTCACCAGAATAATTACATCAGAACATGAGGACAACCATTTAAATGACAATGGTGTGAATATGAACCAAAAACTTATCCCACAAAACCCCGCAACTGAAACCATAGCCAGATTAATTTGACATCCACCACCTGCCAAACATTGAGCGAGCGATTCGATAGAAACCACAACCAATGAACTTACCGAATTCCCTTTCGGTGCACAAGCTTCTTCATCATCTGGATTCTGCAAAATGGTGTTTTTCATGCAATACGTTGGGTGTAGTATCAAATCTAGTTCGTAAATCGCCCCCTTATGTAACTGTGTACGTTGAGTGATTATATTTTTCAGCACAATGACCAACCCATTTGCGTCCACTAGAAATTTCACGTTGTGCCTTGAAGTTCTTAAAATAGGCCTCAAAATGTACTACACATTGTAATTGTTACTTGATTCACAAGCGATTCAGCTCACCTGTATCCATTGACTTAGTCGATCGAAATGCTGTCCCCGCTGGTTTCCCCATTTTCCGAGCTACAGAAACCTCTGTTCATTGTCTTTGAACAGGAGGAGGATGACCAGCACATTAAAATCCTTGACTGATAATAACTTACAACATTTCCATCTCCCCCCAGCCCTCCAACTAAAAATATACTGCCTTCCTCTCCACCGGTAAAGGCATAAGGTGATGTGAGAAAAAGTGGTAAGATTCCCTCTGACCATCCTGCTTCATCTGGAATCTTCAAACAGAACTTCGCATTCAATTAGGATTATGGTGTGTTATAACATGTATAGTAGTGAGCAGAAAGTCAGAAATATAAAATTGCTTCGTACTAATAATCGATAACTAGTCATTGGCCCGCATTATGCTGTTACATGAGAAATTGCAGATTTTTCGGGTCGAATGATGCTCAGAATCATAATCACACACTAGAACGTTCGTACGTATAAAGCAAAGCCATTTATCGATTTTTCGAAAAAAGCAGCAGCGGTATTTCACTGTGGCACCCCAATGGATCTCAGACCTATCCTGACCACATCAGTTCGTAGCAGGGAAATCACTGTTCCTCGTGCGGAAAGATCCGTTCTAGCGCTTACTTATTTAATTCCAGCCTATTTGATTGAAATACATACTAAGAGGTCTTTTATCGTGAGAAAGATAAAGTTTGTCGGTAAACTTCATACGTTCCTCGAAATTTCGTCATCATCCTAGCAATTCTATGTACTTTCTTTATGTTCTTACAGTCGTTTATTACTCTGCGCCACTCGCTGGGAAATTCAGATTATTCTGGTGAGTCCACACCAAAGGTAAGCACTGGACTCGGGTTTCGCTCTTATTAGAGCTCACCAACGTGTAATCCACTACTCCACCAACGCACGTTGGACGCATCCAAATTTTCACGTCTGAACAGGCGGCGTGTTTACGCTCGGACGATGTGATTGGTGTGCCCGTCTCGCATGTCAGGTATCAGAAGTTCAAATCCCGGCACACCATTGGATATACACCACTGATGAGCTCTAATAAGAGCGAAACTCAAGTTCAGTGCTTGCCTCCTATGGTGTAGACTCACCAGAATAATTACATCAGAACATGAGGACAACCATTTAAATGACAATGGTGTGAATATGAACCAAAAACTTATCCCACAAAACCCCGCAACTGAAACCATAGCCAGATTAATTTGACATCCACCACCTGCCAAACATTGAGCGAGCGATTCGATAGAAACCACAACCAATGAACTTACCGAATTCCCTTTCGGTACACAAGCTTCTTCATCATCTGGATTCTGCAAAATGGTGTTTTTCATGCAATACGTTGGGTGTAGTATCAAATCTAGTTCGTAAATCGCCCCCTTATGTAACTGTGTACGTTGAGTGATTATATTTTTCAGCACAATGACCAACCCATTTGCGTCCACTAGAAATTTCACGTTGTGCGTACCAGTAGAGCTCATCATTTTGTTCGTTAAATTTCCTTATAGCTAGTCTTGTCAAGTTGACTATTCGGTCACTCTTTAGAGCCTCTTCTGAGAGTTTCAGTGGTTTTCCAACGTATGTCCTGGAAGCACATCCATCTACAATCAATCTCGACGAAAAAACCGTCACCATCCAACCAATGAATATCTTCGTTATACATAGGCATTCTCGAGGGAGATTGAAAACCAAACAAAATCCAGTTAAAAGAGCCATAAGCAACATCGGTTTCAACCCAGAAAACATTGAATGAACATTCTTATTAGCCAAAAGTAGATGCTGGCAGAGAAAATAATCACGATTTACTACACCGAATTGCATCCTTCGTCAGTCGGAGGCATCCGAAATTCGATCAAAGGGACATGAATGCGAGAATGTTGGCATCATCTGTAGGCCCATGTATCTCACTGCACCCAGTGCAGTTCAGCAGCGAACGTTCAAATCTTCTCCAGAAACGTGGGTCGCTTAGTTCTTATTCTGGTTGTTCACAGTCACTGTTATTTATCTCTCGGCTTCACGCGTTAATCACTAGTTGTTTTGTGATGCAAAACGTTTGGCGCAGAGTATGCTGTTTTTTTCTAAGTAGGTCATAGACTGGTAAGCTCAAGTGTATTTTGGAATACAATCTGAACTCAGCTAGAAATTACAAAACAGATAAATAGAAATGCAGTTTAGTTAGATTTGGCCTATTCATTCCGACTGATTTCAGGTTATCAAGGGTAGTGACATAATAACCCTGTATTAAATCTTCGGTGTTTGCCAACATGTGCCATCAAACTTAGGACCACCTGTGAAAGAAAGAAGGCCTTCGCTGCGGAGTTATTTATTAGAAAACACCAACTGAATTGGTACAGACTATTGGACAGAGAAGCAAAACTCTGATATGCATCCTTTTTCATAAAAAAAACTTAATATCTGTCTTCTTCTCGAACGCGTCTTCCTAGACTTTCCTGGATACTCATTGACTATCACCCAAATGTAAACAAATGCTGCAAATCAATTCCACAAATTTCGTAATAAATCTCACTCTTCAACAGACGCGAAGAGATTTACGAGGAGACATACTACTCGCATGCCTCATCAGTAGCATCCACCGTTACATCTGTACAAGGTCACACCAGCTAACTTCTTCAAAGGTCAACTGAAAATGCAGCTTGGTCATCTAACTCGTCAGACCTGCTCCTAAGATTCATTCTTCAGAAGTTAGCATTTGTAGATTTACTCCTAATTCGCTCAATGCCTACCGCCCCGCAGTAAAACAGGAGTATTTGCTGCGTTTGTTTTTTTTTAACAGCACCAGACAAGTGAAAATTTTCCATAGAAGTGAACAACAGAAGAATGGTATATACATACATCCACTTTCGCATACATATACTGATCACAATCCAGAGACAATAACTTATTATGGCAATTCAAAAATGTCGATTATCTTGTCCTGAAATTATAAATTACAAAAAACTTCTATCATTTGGCTCTAGTTATTTTGTCAGCCCACTTGGATTCTTCTACTATCCTTCGGCCTTGCTCCCGAACGCACTTTATCTGACTACAGCTGTCCCTTCTACTTTTAGGTCATCCTTCGATAAGTGCTTTTATGTCAACTTGACAATCATTATTAGGACTCGGTATTGAAGCCACTTACCGCCCTATTCCACCGTGATAATTTGTTAAGTAATGCACTCACTTCCGAATCAGTATCATCCTCGTTTGAACCCTCCTGTTCGTTCCCTTCTGCAAATATGCCGGTTTGTTTGTACTAAGGAAAAAAGGACTGAATTGGATTTCATTCTCCTCCGAGATTAGAAACAGTGAATAATCTTAACCGTACCGAGATAGTCAGGGAGGTTTTCCAGTTTTCGCCACCCGAGGAGTCTTCAGCCTATTTCGTTTAATCGAATGACCATACAAGTCAAAAGTAGCGCTAGTTGCCTCACTTCGGATGATAAGTCAGCTAATTCTCCTTAATTTTTCACCATCCTCCAGAAGACCTGATGATTGACGATGGACTTTTACGACTCCATTCCACCCTCGGAATAAATTTTTCATAGTATACACTGCATGTTGTTTAATTTCGGCCTAGCAGGATTGCGCAAGCTGCATCCACATATTACTGAATATGTACCGGAACTGACAAACACCAGCTGCTGAATAGCCACGTGTTACGAAACCGTGGAAAGACGGCTCAACGATATCATAATTGTCTTCAATATGATCCACCCTCCATACTCCCGTGCAGCCCAGTGACCGGGTATGGGTTACGATATCGGTCTCATCTGACGAACTCTGAAGATTCGTAACAAAAATGTAAACGACCCATGCGACATACTACATCCACGATGAAGCAACCCGTGTCCTGCTTTACGTGCGCTCAGCCAGCTTGTCCATTTTGGTTGAGTTCAAAACGCCAAAATCCCGTGTACAATCGTCAGATCCAAGGAGTCCGGTCGACGCACAAAAGATGGACGTCCTTCTGTTATATGTGCTGATTTGCCAATCTGTTAGATCTGTTGCCGACCCCAATCCAGTGCCTAGCGCCGGAGAGACTTACAGAAGGGAACACAACAGCTATATTCTGAACAAGCGTGTCAGTGCGTGCGAGTGCGAAAATACAACGGCCTAAAGCTATTTTATTGGAGGGACACTGTCTGACCTTGCTCCTCGCGCTATCTGAATTCGATACGAGGCTGTCACGCGCTGCGCATTGCGGGGATCTTGTCCGAACTTGATCAACGCTAACTCGTGCTGTCTGAGCTTGATACAAGGCTGTGACGCACTGCATATTGAGGGGACGTTTGTCTGTCTGATCAGCTTCTAGCGGAGCTAAGGGTCTCAGTAGATTTCGGGCAATCAGTGGTTGCTTTCAGGAATCTGACCTTCCTGATACCCCCTGTTTGAGTGGGCCAGGAAAATGGTTAGGAAGAATAATCCCGGAGATCGAGGTACTTGGATGAGGATGCGTGTGGCAACTGATTAAAACTGATTGTGGGATCACTGCTGTACTCTCGATGTGACAGTAAACATGTCTGGTATGTCGCAGGCACACTCACAGAAGCCAGGAACACTTTGTTAGTTCAAACAGCCTCGTGAGATTTTCCACCGCTGATACTCACGTCACATGCCGTTCCCAGAAGAGTTCACGAATCTACGATCCAGTGAAATTTCAGTCGGAATTATACAAAATTTCCTAGATGAATTACACAAGGCAACCGGTTATAGTGTAACCTGTATTTATTCCGTAAACCCCGTGTTTAGGTAAACTGAGTGTTTGGTGTGTTGCTTATTGGTATCAGATGTGTATACTGCTTCTGACGTCAAGGAATGTTCATGTGATCTTCTGGTTTCAATGCGAGAATGGCTGAATTCTGTTCCTGCTAGCACTTGACAATGCGCCATAGACCCATCCCTGGTATCTGACACCATTCCTGGTAATTTCTTTCGTTGCTCGCATCCGATCGACTGCCGCAAATGCGGTGTGCCTCAGGGATCCCGGTAATAAGTTTTACAACCAACAACACTTTTCAAAAAGAACATCGGCAAACACTCGCTTTCATTTTCTTTCCTAAAAACACAGATAAAGCAATTTGAAATCACTGATAGGGGTCATAACATATGGGTAATGGGCTGTAAGAACTTTCCCAAGGACGAGCGTCATGGTCCCGTAGCAAACAGGTCTTTGTAGAGAGGTCATATTCTTCTTGGATGTCGATCAACAACGGTCATCATACCTGTGTGGCATGCGGATGGATTTTGTTTTAGTCAAAGAAAGTAGATAACGGAGCTACCTGCGAAGCAAAGAACTGTTGACTTCTTCTAAGGGAATTTCCCCATGGAAACCAACTACAAGAAGTACCTACATTGCGCGTCCCCAAAAGGATTGTCATGGATAAATAGAACACAGCCAACAACTCCAGTGAACCATTCAAAGCTTCTGAAATGCGAATTACTGGACGTAAAAATTCCGCTGTGTTCGAAACCCGCGGGCGGTATTCTTTTAGGCTATTGTCCCATCGTAAAATGGTTGAGTACTGGTGAAAGGAGGAAAGCCTTTAGGCGCGGAGTTGTTTACCAGAAAACACCAACTAAACAGTTACAAACTCTTGGACAGTAAAGTAAGCTTCTCCTGTGCATCACGTTTTGTAAAAAAAAACTGAATATTCGTATTCGTCTCCTCTTGAACGCGTTTTCTTGAACTTTTATTCATTGGCTACCAGATAATTACAAGTGAATGGTGCAAAGCAGTTCCACAAACCCCGTAATAAACCCTAACTTCCATTGGACGCGAGTCAGAGTTACGTGAAAACTACATACTACTCGCATGTCTCATCAGTAGCACCCGCCGTTACACCGGCGTACTGAGGACGGAAAACTGAAAACTCAAGAACTGAAAACTAATGAAACCTGAAAGTAGCGTCATACAGCAATGAATAGATGGCTACTAATAATGGCTACTACTAATAAATGGCTACTACTAAACGTCTTACATACATATTTGTCTCACGGAAAATGAGGAAAGAAACTTGTGTCCATCTGAGTTTGGGATAAAATTCAAGGAGAAATTTTGGTAGCTTTCCACTATGCCCGGAGCTCAAGCACACTTGACTGTAGAAATCCTGAACTGTAAACTTTCGGTAGATGTCCTACTTGAATGTTGCGAAATTAACTGTTTACCGAAGCCGAATTGCTTGAAAAATGGTAATGCGGTAAAAAACTGCCAAGAAAAATCTCGCTGGCCCGAAAATGTCCCCTAAAGTGAAGTGAACTTATAAGGGTATAAAGAGAATTTCTTTAGGATCAAGCAACAACCTCATTGCTCAGGTTTGACGTTTCACCCAAGTTACTTTCTCCGTATGTCAAATGATTCAGATTTGCGCAAGTATTCCTTTTGTGACCACCCTGAGTCAGCAAACTATCAAGAGAGTCCTTATCTCACCAAAGTTCACATTTCTGAAAATATTTAATGTTAAAACTAACGTACATAAATTCGTCTATCCAAAATAGCGATTTTTAGTGTTTATATTGAAGTTGCTAGACTCAGTTCAATGTTACAGCCGAAAAACGTAATCCAACAAGTTGTTTCTACCCATAAATTCTAAATTAGTTTCGCAATGTCACCTAGCTCAAGTTCGAAAGTTCCCTCAGCAATGGTTTGAACAGGACCCCTGGGACGGATGTGGTCACATAATGCTACAAAAATTGAAAACAATTCTCGGTCTCAAGAGCTTCGTATTACGACTGATATGGGTTACTCGTACCTTTACACAGTTACAGTTTCTTCCTGAGCACATACATAAAGAGCGCAACATTGTTCGAAATGTTCGAATTTCAACATATATATAAACGCATGATACATTTCAGGGACACTAGCCCCAGAGCTTTTCATCTAAAAGGGAACAATAAACCTTGATGCCTAAAAAAGTTGAAAATATCCCTAAATACATAAAGAGCAGTTCCTTTAAAATTTCCAACACGAATGCCAACCCCATGAGGCGCATACTGTTTAAAAACATCCAGGACAACGTTTTATTGAAAGCTGGCGAAATCCCCTATTAAATCAAAATGCTCACTACTCACTGAGTCTCCCGAACACCTCATAGGTTTATTTACTGCCAAACGATTGAAGCTCAGTATCCCATATGCTTATGAATCGTGCAAGCGTCTCGTGCTATTGCTAAATAAATTTGTCCGTTCATCCCGTGGGCTGGGTCGCTGGTTCTGGCAGAGCAAAAACCAACTTATTATCTAACGAAATGCAATGACTGTGTTGGCGAAATGCAACTGTTTCTGAAAGCTAAGATCTATGGGAATTACCTAGTGCGTCCAAGTGAATAGTCCCTATAGGTCTTACAGGAGCGTCTACTCAAATGAACACTCAACTTCTCGTCAAGTATTGACTCCAAATTTAGATAAAAGCTGCAGTATCCAGCGAAAAGAATAAAAGTGTGTAGTAATTCTGTAGTGTGAACTGTTAGCTATTGATATTAACTATTGATGAGAAACATACAAACGTCGAAACCGCACACTGGGTTGAAAAAAGACTCGGGACGTCCTGCATGGTTGAACAAGCGCATGTTGAAGACTTAGCAGAACTGTGTGCGAGTCCTATAGAACGCCTACGTACGTACGATAACGTGCTGCTGTAAAACACGATCGGAATGTTTATACCCGTTTTCTGTTATGGTACACAAAATGCCGGAAAACCAGTAGCCGTTAAGATAGTTGGTTGCCCGCATGTGTACATGACAAAGCCGCGAAAAAAACATCGGTTCAAGTATAATAAACTTGGAGGTCCTTGATGTAGCGGGAATTAATCGGATGGTGTTTATCAAACGGAGTTAGATTAATTGTGTACATGTCAAATCGTATGCATTCAACCAGAATGAAATATTGCAAACACATATGGTTAATACCTTCTTATACAGCTAGTTTATAAACACTCCTGGTAAATTCGTCGTTCACTCGCATGCGACGTAACTAGGGATTATACGAAATGGTTGGATGTGTTTATCACTACTAAATCGGATAAACTTCGAACTAAACATCTAATATCTTGATAACCAGCAAAACCAAGGACGTGAGTAAAATACCGATCTGTGAACGCACAATCCTGGGGACATTAAGTTCATCTGTTGCCTTGATGGGCACAGGTACAAAAAAGTCACGTATATGCAACTGATGAACCCCAAACAAAGTGGTACGCGTCTGAAAGTGGCAACATAAAGTAGCCACACGCCAATTGTCCACCGTTATTGCACGTCACCGCGAGTAATTTTTCGAACCAGGCCGCTGATTATCAGCAACCCTTCGATAATCTGACCGCATCACCATTACTATACTACATTATATTATATTACGTATCACACATCATATATCATCATATATCATCATATATATCATATCATATTATTATATTATATTATATTATATTGTATTATATATATTATATATATATTATGAATGCAAGATAGCTGCTTTTTCGCATCGTTGGCTTATACAAGTCTTACCATTGTAAGCGGCCTCCAAAGATCTCGGGCATGTGCCTCCCCAGTAATCAAACGACGATTTATGGACCTGCTAACGTCACTGCAATTGATCGCTGAAAGCAGGCTCCTTATTCCATCCGTGCTTTAATGAAAAGAACAATGAGCGAGGCTACCCGATTTAACCATGTAAGCCATAGTTAACCAGCCACGAACATCTGACATGTCTACACCTGCAATACTCAGCCAGACAATCCAGACAGAAACTTAATACATGAACACCACTGACACCGCTTAGCTGCTATATCGTTCGGTATCTCCAGCCAAGCACAGCGTCGTCACATAGACCCCGTCTTGGAAAGCGAACAGCGCCCAACTTTTCGTAACCTCCTTCATTCCCTTCCATCATATGACATTCTTTCCACCTCCAAGTTTTGGCTACCTCCAAATAGACACGGAAAACAGCGCCTGTCTCAGCAGACGGCAACTCGCCATGTGTAGCGCATGGCCCAGCAACCTGAGTTTGCATTGCTGACCGCACTCTTTGAGTGAAACACCGTCTGCTTCATTAAAACCAGTCTCCTGATCATTGAGTACCGAATTCACTGGTTCTAAATAACTTCATCTGTAGTTCTGAGACACTGGCGGCCAAAGATTTGAAAATGTCTCATGTCCTCCACCCGAAGTCGCCGGATCTCGCACATTCACAAAAATAAACCCAGTAGAATGGCCTGATATACGCATCCTTTGAGACTCAGTGATGTTTTTTATATCATAAATGGTGAAAATGGGCAAAAGCAGTTCTGGCCTTTGAGATTCGTCTTTTAAACTGCCGTCAGGTCTAATACAACCTCCGATACGTAGAACTTTCCACAAATTCCAGTGTCACTCCTTGAATCCAAAGACCATCCATAGCATCCGTAGCATGACTTCGCTTTTTGGGAGCATGAAGTATATGCCGAAGAACTGGACTTTAGTCAACATTTTTAGCGCTACTTGCGCTTCCTGCTTTTTCTGAGAAATGAGGATAACATCATCTGCATATTCCAGTTTGACAAGGCCCTCGCTCGGATTTAGAACACTGACTCTCATGTAATTCACAATCGAAAATATAGCTGTAAATGGTCAGTACAGAGTACGTACATCAATGCAACATAAAAGTACATAAAATGAGGAAAATTATACGTACATATATGTAGGGTATGAAAAGCTAAGAAAAACATTCCGATAATGTTTCATCAGAGCAACCGGAAAGGTTCAATTGTTTGAACATGGACATATGCATATTGTGTAACCCTGAGCGCTGTGCATAACACTACTCGTATAGTCCAAAATATTAGAAATGTAATTACTTTGGTTGTTATCAGAGCTCCAGGAGACGGTCCACGTGACCCTTCCTTGTTTGCTCAAAAATACTGTAAGACATTGCTGCTATTATACTTGACAGCGGCGATCTTGTTGGCAAGCTATCAGCAAGTCTCTCCCCATCTCCTAATTAATTCATTCTAATTTGGGACACACATCACAAGAAAAATGCTAGACAAACAAACATCGCGGATTGTTTTGGTATCGCAAGCTGCCTAAACGTGATCAATGTCACCCAGCTTACAGACGAGTATAATAACTCCAAGATTTATGGCCAGTTTCACCTGGTATTAAGCAATGAACGAATAGGAGAGCCTAGATTCTACTCCCACAGAAGTGCCAACCCAGGACCCAATTGCAGTCAGTTCCACACAAAAGAGAGTTAGTTGTACTGTGGATAACAGCCCTGGGTCAATGAAAGAAGCATGATATTTTCATAAAGGAAACTACTCACAAGGTTGCTGAAAACTCTCCGACAGCCCACGACCGGTTTCGTCCGTCTTGGGGCTCATCAGGTTAGCGCAGTCCCCGAGGTTCCGTCTACTTTATGTTCTACTTGAACCCAAATTGGACTGTTTTTGAGAAATACACTCATTTGCAAATCAGTTTGGTTTTCACAAGAGACTCAAATGAATCTCTTGTTTATGATATTCTGGATGTTGTGCACACAGGCCGCCTCATGTTTAAGTTGGCATGATATTCGAGATATCGCCGAATATTTTCATTAAGGAAACTACTCACAAGGTTTTTGAAAACTCTTCGGCAACCCACGACTGGTTTCGCCCTTCTTAGGGCTCATCAGGTAGGCATGATAAATTTTCTGTTCGCAATATGCGGATGTTAGTATTCACTGAAAACCTGTGGCTCTAACCTCGTACGGTTTCGCTAAGCCCGATTCACTGAAACAAGTCGTGTCAACATAGTAACATATGGCCGACAAAAAATTGGAATGCCAATCAAAGCACCCAAGAGTGTAACATGATTATGAAAACAGCAAAAAAATCTCCTAAGCGTCTTTTGTTGGATTATCATGGATCCCAAAAGGTCGAGGTTGTAAATCAAATGGAATGACCCGACCAGAACAATATCATTGCAGTATATGCGAATTCGCTTTGGCGAAACGTTGGTGTAAAGCAACTAAAACAAGATCAGTAATTTCAGAACTGACGAACTGATCAGCTAATCAAGTTAGGATAGATTGTTATGTTTTATACTTATCTATTGTTATTCGTGAGGTCGCTGAAAGCTTTTCGATATCGTATGACTACATGAATCTGTTAACCTGATGTTCTAACTGAGCACCACACTGTATGCAACCATTGAAATGAAACGAATTGCGAACTAAGTAGATGCAGACAGAGGACTCAACTGAATTGCAATCGAATCTCTTGTTTATGAGGCGGTCTTGCCGCAGCAGTCAGTCAAAGAATATATTAAATGAGGACGTCAGCTGAGGTTCAAATGAGTTGCCCGTTAACATTGGCTCAATTTGCAAGTGAGCATAGTCCGCTAAAATCACATCTTGTGTCACGTGAGTTGCTCCCTAAAGCAGAACCACAATAAGTCGATATTTATCAGATTCCCGGGAGGCACTATTGTTTTTGCTGTTTGATTACAGTACAACTTTATCGTACTCCTTTTCTTGTGGTCTTATTTTAACTCAGTATGTGGCAGAAAAATTGCCCCTTCGTAAGAGCCTAAATTACAAGGCCAACAACTACATCGGGTCCCCTATTAATAAGCATGTTTCCATCAAAGATATAGTGGAAACACTGATGAAATTGTTGGTCATTCTACAGGGTGTAGTGATATCTGGCCTGAAGGCATCCATTTATACGCAATAATGGTTGCATATAGGCATTCCACTGAACACGAGACAACGTATTATAGATCGATCGTCCCTGCTTCGTGAATGCTTTGAGGCACTGGCACACCTCGGAAATCATTGGACGATGCATAAAAAGTGAGGTAGGTCTGTGTAATTAATTGTATTCGATTGGAAGGCAACGACAAGTTGTGGATTGGTTCATTAAGTAGTATAAAAAGAATCCATGAAAAAGCCAGCATTCGCAACTGACGTGCAGTTACCGTGGGCACATTACCCCTCGTCCACCGTCAACAGCTAAAAGATGACCAGTGGTGAACGAAGACGCCGAACTGGCGAGGAAGGCAATAGCTTGAGCCACTTCCTCTGGTTCTCCAGGTCTACCCAAGGCGTGGGAGGTCTTGGAGTTGTCCAGAAACCTTTCATACTCTTCTGGTGACATCCCGCCACGGCGTTGTAAAGGTGTGACAATTACACCAGGGCTGTAAATGACAAGTGGTCGTAGAAAGGTGAGTTAGGACAAGCAAAAATTCAATCAGTTTCTACTTTTTCCAACGAAACATCAGCATTTACACGCCCAGTAAGATTCCTGAAAGAAGACCGCTCCGCTAGAGAGCCCAGAACGTCCTTTCATTCTTGGCGTCCTCTCTTCGAAGGATTACTGTGTTTCAGACCGGTGATGAAAGAAAACGGTACAGACACTCCGCATAAAAACACAGGAGTTTAGTGATAGAACATAGCCAAATTTTAAACCAACCAGTCTTCTTCAAAACAATAAAGTGGAACAAAGAAACTTCTTGACCATGACAGACCCCCCCCAAATGACCAGCAAACACTGAGTTAGTGTATAAAGCATGAACAGACTAACCCGAAAGCCTGAATTCCTGCGGGATGGGTTGCAATCACTCTACAGAGTTGTGTCCGAAAAATACATTAAACACACCTCGAGCTGCAGATCGATTGCTTTAGCGTATAAGAGCTGAGATAGAAAAGTTTCCCTTTTTTGTAAAACTACGTTAACTACTAGCACTGAGAAAGTAGGTGATTGAAACAGAAGCGGCTGGTGGTGTCAGCTGTCGCTTTACACCTGAGGTGCACGTTGGGCGCATTACTTTCATGTGACGGACAATGTTTGGTCACCTGATCCTAACTGTACACAAATAATTGATCACATTAACTGTACTAACTTGTCTTGATGCAACCAACCTAGCAAATAGCCCTGTTCCCACAGCAACGACACGAAATCTTTCCATCTGTGGCAACCATACCCAGTGGTTTGTCACATTTGATTGGTTGGGCAAAACGGCAAACGTAAGTTCATTCACTATCCCGAACAACTACCACTGAACACCCATTTCGAACACATATCGGGCAAGTGGTGTCCACGAAGTTGTTTCGCTAGAAGGTAAAGGATGAAAGCTGTAAAAGCTTATCAAGAAGCGTGTCACGATCACTCAACCCACTGAGTTGTTCAGTCAGTTATTCAGAATTCACTCCCTTTATGTGGATTGCCAAAAACATTCAAACCTTTTAAAGAAAATATTTATGTGTGTCGTTTCCTATAGAATTAATTTTCGGTAAAAATAACTACGGACTCGCTGGAAGAAACCATCCACAGTTTGAGCCCCCCCGTGTAGGTGGCCACACATTTTTGTGTTTGAGACCATAATCTTGTTCCCTAGATAGGCTTTGTTATCGTGCGCTAGACTCTGGTATCTACGTGGTTCTCTTACTTTCCTCCGTCTCGATACAACTTACGAAATTCAAACTCTTTCACATCCTCAGTGAATCTACGACCACTCTCTACTTGGTACGTGCAAAACTCCAAAGTTCTGATTGGTATGATTCAACCGATGACATCGGGCTGTACTGAACATGCAGGATGCTCCTGGATTCAACTAGTGATGCTCGAAGGTTAGAATAAATATCCGGAACCAACAGTAACAGTCAGTGGTGAGTTGAGTTCTCAATGAGATTAAAACACCCGTTTGACAGTTTGAGGAAACGCCTGTATCCACGGCAGCACACATAAAAACCAGATGCAATGCAACGCGTTAGTTCAGCGAGACGGTTCTTGAACAGCTCCTCATCGATCCCCTAGAACAACGTTACAAGAAAACCTAGCGATATCGCCATGTCGGTTAAACAATGTGAAATGGATGTTGTGGAAGCTCACACAAAGCCGAGTAAAGTAAGTCAGGTAGGGAAAACGCCCTCCGATTGGAATTTGAAGATTAGGCGCGAGAATCTAGTGCTCTAAGATTATTCAAGTTCGTGGCACGAACATGAGAAAGATGCTTAGGCTGACTAGACGATATATGCAACGCACAACCACGTGAGACAGGACCAATTGAGCCATGCTTGAGTGGAAGTGATCGTCAACGATGAGAAAAAATGCTACTTGGACGGTCCCAGTGGCTTGGTGTGCTACTGGCAAAATGTGGGAAAAAAGCGAATTCGCAGTAGCTGAAGCCACAGTGAAGGTTACCTAGTATCTGTAATAGACAAACGCTACTTGGCCATACAGCACGGTAAATCACAATGACGTCCAAACTCAGGAGACTCGGTCATAACCTCTCGATTTTATCAAGAGTGAAACATTTACAAATGGCAACACTGCGACCACTGCTACTTGTTCAAGGATGTCATTCATTTGTCGCAGTGTATGTGTGTGGCAGCGTCCCGCATAACAATAGGGGTATCAACCCATTCAAAAACGCGTACGATATAATAATGGCATCTGTATACAACTGTAGTGGACTAACCCATTAATCAAAGACAGTGATTGTGGATAAGTTCGGGAACTTGAGGAGCAACACGTGAAATGCGGTTGACTTTGACCTGGTTGTAACTAGCCTTGCGAGCGTTTTGCATCATTTCAACACGCAGTATGAGGTTACAGAGGTTCTGCTGGCACTGAATCAAAATTGACAAAAGTCTCTGAACGAATGCAGTCTTTGAAATTTCTTGTAAACTAACGTCATCTGGATTATTTGACTGTCTCCAACAAGCCTTCTACAATCCGTGAACAAAGTAACGAACTGATGCTTTTGTTTATTACTGGTTCGGTTTGTGCCCAAAATTAGAAATCTGACGTTGGCCTTCATCACTTTTGGAAACATTTACATTACAACCGGAGGAATGGTCTGCATCAAATCCATGGAAAACAAACGATACATCTCGCTGTCTTCGACTTTTAATCAAGATCTTTTAGTTCTATAACTCACGCGCAGATAGCTCTGATGTGTTGAGATTTTAAAAAAAACTGACAAGAAGGATAACGTGCATGGATGGAAGCACACACTGCGTGTGTCACGGTTTGGTGTCCATGTTCTGCGTAGATAAACCACGCGGGACTCAACTACCAGACCCCGGTTCATATACCCTCTCTCAGCATGGGTCGCACAACATCAATGGGCATTTGCCTGCCAGGTGGCTGGCTTTTTGAAGGATTACACTGGAGTCTGCATACAGACACTTTAGTTACTGCAAGATCTCCTGCCATAATCCCACTCCATCTGTTCCACGATGTTCGTAGTGCCATTCTGAATGAGTTAACTACTTGGTTTGGGATTGAGTGATCAGGACTCCTAGTGAGTCTCTGATGTCTCATTCCGCACCCAGCAGAGGGGCACACAATAGCGTCTGGTGACAAGTCCCTAATGGGGACTTGTATGAGCGCATGGGATTTAACTACTGATTGGATACAAGTGACAGACAGCTTGCGGTAAAAACAATGTTCATGTTAACTGACACAGCCACCCGTCTCAATAGCTTTACACACTGAGTCTCCAGTTCGGACGACCAGTATGAGGATGGCAGGACTGAGAGATATGACCACAAAAATGAAGGTCAGGAAATTCTGCTGCACAGCAACATGCGAATCAAGCACCAGAAACGGTCTGTACGTATGAAACACACGCAACACGCCGTTCTTCTGGTGCTAACTACTCATGCAGTGTGGTGAAGCAAACTGACTTTCCACAGTACCGTGACTGTATGGCAGGTAACTTTTATCCACTAAACTTACTTGACACTGTTCACGCGAATGCCTTTCGGAGCCAGTTCTGAAAATAGAAAATATACGCGAATCGATAGCGGACGACGGACACTACAAATAATCCCACCGTTTTTTCTTGACACAACACACGGCTTATAAGGTTGCCGAAAACTATGCGACATTCCACTACCGATTTGACCCTTCTTGGGGCTCATCGGGCTCTGAGTTATCATCAACATAGCAGGGCTCCGTGCAGCGGAAGACTATCATAAACAAGAGTTTGGGCTGGGATCCAGCTGAGTTTTTCGCCGACAACGACTTAATTGGTAAATGGATGTAGTCTTTTGCCTGTCCTCAAAAAAGCTAGTCGAACATGACGAGAAAAGCAAAAATTAATGAAAAAATGACCAGCACATAGAAAGTGACTACACAGAAATGAGAACAGAACGCACCTAGGGCGACACATTTGGTGAACTGATCCAATGCAGCTTTGCTCACGCAGTATGAAAGTATACCAGAAAACTGAATGGAAGGGGGAAAATGGAGATAGACAAACATTGATGAGACTCCACGCTCAGTGAACTGTGAGTAGAGTTTGGCTTTTAAAGGTAAGTGGCACTCAACACATAGTCAAATAAGTCAATCCACTCCGATTCATAATATAATAGTATAATATAGTATAATATAGTATAGTATAGTTCCCTTCGAAGTTTGAGTTATCTTTGAAAATACAAAAATTAGCATAAGGGAAGCAGTACGCGAGCAGGGCTCCGTGCAGCGGAAGACTATCATAAACAAGAGTTTGGGCTGGGATCCAGCTGAGTTTTTCGCCGACAACGACTTAATTGGTAAATGGATGTAGTCTTTTGCCTGTCCTCAAAAAAGCTAGTCGAACATGACGAGAAAAGCAAAAATTAATGAAAAAATGACCAGCACATAGAAAGTGACTACACAGAAATGAGAACAGAACGCACCTAGGGCGACACATTTGGTGAACTGATCCAATGCAGCTTTGCTCACGCAGTATGAAAGTATACCAGAAAACTGAATGGAAGGGGGAAAATGGAGATAGACAAACATTGATGAGACTCCACGCTCAGTGAACTGTGAGTAGAGTTTGGCTTTTAAAGGTAAGTGGCACTCAACACATAGTCAAATAAGTCAATCCACTCCGATTCATAATATAAGAGTATAATATAGTATAATATAGTATAGTATAGTATAATATATATAACATAGTATAATATAAGAGCATGTTTTTGATAACTTGTCCTCGAGTTATTCCATTGCATGCTTCGGAAACAGAAAACTGTGAGAAAGCGAATCAAAGTTTCACAGCTGTTATAAAAATGAATAAATCAGTTTCTAAAAAGAGGCTTCTCCTTCCCACAAGAACGCATTACATTCAAATCTAAAAGTATCTAAATGTCCACAAGTTTGCTCTTGACTAAAATCTGTACGAATATAGCCACTACAGTAAATCATTTGATCACCCGATGACAGGAGCATGGTGGAATTCAAACCAACTTCATCGACTGAACTTGCACATACATTTTTTCATGCCTAATTCAAGCATGCACGGCATCAAATACGCAACTTCTTCCATGATTTTTCAAATAAGAAGCGAGATCCCCCTAAACAAACTACGCTCAACGGGAAAAAGGAATCGCACACAGAATGGGGAAAAGCGAAATAGGAGTTTCAGGAAATTTTCCAAGTGCCTTTAGTGACAACCCCTTTGGACTACCCAAGACGGCAACCACTACAACGAAAACATCTATTTGTCTACAAATTGGGCCTGTGTGTCAAAAGGCTATCATTGAAACTGACAAAGAATAGGCTATTGGCCTATGCTTACACCCGAAGACAGTCCAGTGGTGAATGCTGGAGAGTTCAAGCAGAATCAATTCATGGTACCGATTGTTCGTACTGGATACCCATGGATGAAGCCAATCTACGCTGAAAATCTGAGAAGCATTGTACAGCTGTTTTGTTCGCAGTTCGCATCTCATGGAACTCAGGGAACTTTGAGCCCGCAACTCCCTGGCCAATGCTTGAATACTTTACGGTTCGGCCACTAGCAGCTGACCAGCAGTGTGATCAGACAGGGTAAATCACTGCTAAACCTTTCATCACAGAAACCACACCACGTGGTCACTTTTTGACTGGATCCCCAAGTGACAACGTCTAAGGAGGGAGCTTCACTCATACAGTGCAATTATTCTTCCTCCGAGCTTGATGTTGATGTTAGGGGGGATGGTGTCAGCACCACAAATCTGTCATCCCAGTGGCCTGCAAGTGGTACATTCGAATGTAGGAAAGATGATAGCTGTTCGGTATTTAAGCATGTTGCTCGTTGCCACAGTCTCCCCTTGCCTGATTACCCTGTTTTAAAACAAAATGCTATGCTGATGTTTTAGGTCAGCGCACACCGCAATGAGCATGTTATACATCCTGAGAGAGAAAACCTAAAAAGGACAACTGCCCATTGTACACAAGAAACAAAAGACGAAAATTTTCACTTCTTTTCGTCTGCTGAAAGTCAACCCGTCGCTCATAAAATTCGTCAAGATAACAATCTGTAGACAGGAGAACAAGGTTTACATCATCGAGGCTGAGGTCAGGACCCCATCAGGTGTTACTCATGAAATCCCCTTCCAATCCTGTGTACCATAAGAAGAGCAGTTTCTGTACGCAAAGTTACGAGGTTTGCCCTGTTGTCTATTGTCATATGCCAGACCAAACCGTGACTTGGAGATAGTCCATAGTCCAAATAATCACTGGATCCACTAAGCAATACACAATGACCATGCATTCAAGGATACTTACCGAACGACTACCGCAAACACTCGAAACATTGACAACTGTGCCCTTAGTCTTGGTCAGTGAAGGGACGGCAAGCTGAGTCAAGTGCATCGCCGAGTAAAGATTCACCTTCATTGTGCGATCCAGTTGCTCCATGTCCATAGTTTCTATAGAATCACGTGGTAGGCATCCCGCGTTATTTATCTGCAAGATATGCACGTGAAGCTTACATCTTGTGAAACATGTAACGTGCAAAAGGATACAGTGGAGGTTATCAAGTTCCGTCGGGTTCACGGGACAAATGAGTGCACAACACAATAAGTAAGCAGGTTGCCACACTAGTGATCTTTCTTTTGCCGCTCACAAGCCAAGCGACCAACCGAAAACAACTGCTCGGTTCTCGCGAAATACTCGAACTAGCAGCCGGTGTTAAAATACGCCACCAGAAATGCAATCTTTGGATTAGGTCATGCAGCACCTCCCTTCTGATGCAAAAATAACTGCACGCTATTACCCCAATGTTGGGGAAGTGTACAGCGACGGAGAGAACCGACAAATAATCAAATGAAATATATCGTTGGTTGGTGGCTCAGTGGTTAGAGCGCGAATTTACTGACCGGAAGGTAACGAAAGCTGTGACACCCTTTCGGTGCCTAGCTGCCATGCAACTCGAAGGAAACACGAGGTCTAGGATACTGCAAGGTTGCCCATGCCTAGACATTAGAAGTAGAGATGCAGAAGCCGGGTACTATAAGCAATTCACGGCTGCCATTTGTATTTTTGCATGTACTTACAGGACCTGGACACAGCTCAGTGACTAATAAGGTAATCCCTTCATAGGAAAATCCACGGTTCGAACCCAACCCTAGCCTTTCGATTGCATAGGACAGAAAGACAACCTAACTCCACAGGTCAGCGAAAAGACGAAAATATGTGGTAAGCACGTTGTCTCCTTTGTTTGCTACCCGACTCCCACCGCAATAGGATATCACTGGCCTGCAAGTTGGCTTTACAATACCGTAAAATACGTGAATGATTGGTAATCAGAAACTAAGATACCCCGAAATCGCCGAAACACAGCTTAAAGGGTTCACGATTCAACATTTGCAGCACCTAGCTTCCTATTTCGGGTCTTGCTCTTCAAAGGTGCAGCTACCTCCCCACCCCGCAGCCCCCCACACATAACTTAAAAACACATCCTTTCTAAGAGACTACACAGTAAGCATTCTCTGCCAGATTCTCACAGGACTTCCCTCCATAGAGCTCTACAGTTTTGTTGACCGAAAGGTGACCCTACACCCAACATCAGAAAGATTAGAAAGGTCTCTAAGAGCTCATTGTTCGAAACTCACCCAGTGAAAACCTAGTCAACCAGGAATACACAAATGATAATGATTTCATTTTTGAAAGATATCAGAAAGCACGACCGTTATCAGAAAAGCTTATCAAAATCGTCCAGCGGTTAAGGCTCGAACTTACTGACCAGAAGCTTTGTAGTTCTAAGCTTTGTCAACCTGGCAGTATCTCAGCCTTCATGCTCCCATCGGTGGCATGGCAGCTAGGCATCGATTCGGTGCTATAACTGAACGTCGAATACTCATTCCCGCAAAGTGCAAGGTCTCAGCGGGATGCATATTATTCAAACACGCCTCTAAACTCCAAACGAACGCCCTGGAAGCTAGGTAACACCATATCTATCTCAGCAGTTGTATTAACTCTGACGATACTGTCACAGACGCCAACACATGAATCTCAAGGGTCAGGATTTCTTTTGCTTTGTGACAATAAGGTATATCTCTGTAGGTAGAGGATCTTCAGGTCTCTGGTCACCGATGTCTCAGAACTATAGCTAGAATCGGCTGGAATCAGTGGAGTCACAATCAGGTTATGAGGAAACAAGTCACTGGTGAAGTGGAAGGCATTTTACTTAAAGATATGGTTAGCGTTACGCATGCCGGCCTACCGCCTGATGATGAGGAAGTTGTTCTCGGTACCTAGGTTTGCGGTGTCGCAAACTTAGAGGTGGACAGAATATGTCATGGCAGAAGGATATGAAGGATGTTACGAAAAGTCTGAGTGCTGCTGGTGGTGCCATTCGTATTCCAGGACGACTTGGCTGGAGATATAGATGTAAGTGTAAACAGGTGTAAACACCTCGGATGTTTGTCGGAGGCTCATCTTAGATCCACCTTCTTGTTCCATTTTCCCTCATTTTCATTATTCAAATAAATTGACATGGCTATACCGCAGTGAAGCACCAACGTTCTCATCTGGTGTTGCTGTCAACGAGGATGACAATCAACTAGGATATACTATAGTCTTGAATCCTGTGACACAGTCAGTGGATGCATTCGTTTTGATCAGTAAATGAAGCAATAAAGAACTTTTAGTGTTGTGGGATGTTGAAGCGGGAAAAATCAAGCGCCAAAACTGACTAAACACTCCGCACACTGCCATTTTCTGAGGGCATCTCAAGTGAAACTAACATCTCCGTCTATAGCTTACTCACACTCCAAACGGTACAATTGATTTCCATAAAAGCGGGATTTCTGTTCAAAACAAAAACTCAAGTACGACATCCACAGAAACCGACCAGCACGTCAAGTAATCAGCAATCTTGCTCTGAAATAATATCCATGACCTCTGGTATAGATCAGAGATTCGCCAAAAAATACTACGTAGCTCCTCACCAAGTTGGGTGTAATTCCATCTAACTTTAGGTGATATGGACGGCGTCGTAAATTCAACATCCTGAGTGCCTGATAAAACAGCATCAACGGGGAAAACTTGATCAAATGAGCACTAACCAAAATATCCAACTGCGAAAAATGCGAAAGTGTCTTCGCAAAAGCTGCGTCTATTTGTCTAAGATCCACGAAGTCAGCCACGACATAAAGATATGGTTCCTTCCCAGGTGGATGTTGCGTTCCACTGACTTTCTGACATTCCATTACAGTTTCCTTCAACCGCTGTTCATCACGACCAATCAGAGACAACCGACATCCCAATTTCGCAAACAGGATAGCAGTGGACCTTCCGATCCCCGAGCTTGCTCCTTATTGAGAAGGAATTGACAAAAGTCAAGGCACCCTTAGTGAGATGAAAATCTCGCAAAACAACGAAAGTCAAAATAGAAGAGAATTTACAGGTCGGCCATAAAAATGCTAAGGATACTACGGCAATAGTCCATGGTTCACACACCCCAAACAGATGGACGTGTCCATATCCTATGGCGTACTAACTGTTATCGCAACCCACGTAGCCACCATAATTTGTTCTATGTCTTATAAAAATTGGACCAGAGTGGATCAACCGTCAACAATCCTACTCGCAGGTGCAAAAGCGGTGAAATGGCTTATCAGACTCATCGTCAATTCAAGTTTCCAGCCTTCTGTTTTACAAGAAACCGACCGATTAAACCGTTCTTCACACGTTAACGAAAGTGCATTTGTGACTATCACGCTCTTCTCCGTGGGGGGTCGAAAGTAATCAGATGAACAGTCACTATGGAATCCACAAGTGGAGCTAAAAAAGCTTCACTGCTTTTTATGGACCACAAGCAAAATGCTCAGAGAAAACAACCCAGAAATCTACGCGGACTGTCTTCCGAGCAGTCGTCAGTCAAGCAGGTGGCAACCATCCATGCGTAACTACGTTTGCCTAAAGCATTAGTATGAAGTCTCGGTGGCTGTTTGCGACAGCATCCAAGCTATTTCGGTCAAAATTATTTCATAAAAACGGTGGAATTAGATGAACATCCCACAAGTCCCGAGAAAGCTCTCTACCACTTGCTTACCGGGAACAATAGGTAAATCTATCGTGATCGACATGTTGATTCCCAGACGTCCATCCTATTTGGATTTTCGAACTAGTTTTTCAAGATGCTGACACTAAAACTAACCGGAAGACCTAAGTAATTTGTCGCGGTACAAGGAGAAAAATGCCCATATTTGGCAAATTCACTGTCCTGACATTTAAAACGCTCTGAGTAAATGAACGTTCCTCGTTTTACGACTGCAACATGATGCCATGGGTTGTACAAGTCCCAATCTGTCTAGATGGTTATGGACGAAGATAGTTTTGCATAAACTTGGTCGTTCTTGACCATGTGTGACTATTGGATACACACAAGTTGCCGCAGACATGGCAGATAAAATCGGTCGAAAATCGGATACAACACCAGTACACTGCCATTCAAAAGGGCAGACAATACAATAGCTCAATATATGGCGAGGTTTGTCTTGTCGCAGATGGCGGCTGTTCCGGACACATCTTTTAACTATTCGATCTGAAACTGAGTAGCTTTTTAGGTCACTTATCGAAAAATGGGAGCGATAGCCAATGCTGCACCAATTCTGGGATTCGAACCCAAACAGTCGAAATAAAGTTCTACAGTGTCACCTACGTAATTATCCGGGCCCTTAGAGTTCTGACGAGAATAAACGTAGGAAACATGTCATCCCACTGCCGCTCACCACTATACTTGCGGGGATTCTCCAAGAACAGGTTAACTGGTGACTATGTTTCAGAAGTATTTAAGCCCACACGTAGAAACCATTGCTGGGCGCCGCAGTACTAAGTTACGACGTGTTAACAAAGCATAACCTTTAGCAATCAACCAATCAGTCGATTTGTAAGCTATGAACGATGTACCACAGGTACATTGGTTCCAGCCGATACGGTTTCGATCACCGAAAAGTGGGAGATTGCGGCAGATATGGTCAAACCTTGGGGGTTTGCCATGTTTAGTTTGGCGATAGCTTTGATGCGTGAGCGCCACTAACTGCGTGATTGGGTCATTCATGCTAGTGTCATTAATCATTGGTGAGATGAGTTCCCCATCCAGGGAGGCGGAAGTTGCCCACCCAACTAAGTTTACTGGTTAGCGTTTTTGTACTTCGTTGCCAGGTCATACACCGCCCACCTCTCGATCGCTTCCGCTCAACACAGGGTTGGATGAAAAGAGCTCTATGAGGCAGACGGTCTTCTGACATGCGCAGTACATAACCAGCGTAACACATGAAGTGTCAGTAATCCATCTATCGCGGGAGAGTTCCTTCTTCCTAAGTCCACCTGGCGTACCTCGGCATTGCTAATCCGATGCTGCCACTAGACCAGGCCAACGCTTCGAAGGTCAAACACTGGCACCTTCCGTATATCCTCTACGCGTAGAGGTCGCGTTTCTGATCCATAAAGCAGTATGGATCGCACTGCCGCAATCTAAACTCTCCCCTTTGCAGATAAACCCACGTCACGTCTGTGCCATAAGTGTCGGAAGTTCGCAAAGCAACGTGCAGCATTGGTTAGAAAACAACTGAAACATAGATTAGAGCTATGCGTACGTCGACTCGAATCTTAAACACTAGCCGGCAAACTGCCATTGATTTAAGAAAACACCTTCAATGGCTCGCACAGCCACAAGTATCACTGATGGTTAACGTTTAGAGATATTCTTTTACCAACGCAAGGCCCCAACAGAATACCATTTTGCGAATCTACGCCACTGGAAAGGAATGTAGATTAGCCGTCACCAAGCTAAGGGTCATAGTGAACAAACGAGTGTGAATCTGTCTTGTGACAAATTATGTTTTTCACGCCACTGTTCTAACAGGAATCACAGATGCAGCAAGTCCAGTTGAAAAGGTCACAGAGAATTCTGTAAAGGTGACTTTAAAAGCACTCGCAAATATCGGTCCGAATAAAGGACGAGGGCAAGCGCCGTCACCGCTCCTTCAGGATGAAATCACCCGGCCGACGAAAATTCGTCATAGTATGTTTCGATGGCACGCCGGTTATCTTCAAACTTGATACAGATTCTGACCTCACTCCGATTTGAAAACGAACCTGGGACGTGATTGTGAGGCCAGTAGTGAAACACAAAGTGCAGCGTTTGTAGCGCGTCTGGTGGAAGCCTAAAACTGTCCGAAAAGCTTAACTGCTCCGTAACGTTCAACGGGGTTCACGTTCATGGTGCCTGCTACCTCACGAACTATACAGGCCTTGATCTCTTAGGCCTGGATTCGATTAATGGGCTTCAGCTCTTGGACCAACACCTCAATGTGTTTTGTCACTAAACAACTGCAGACGGCTGAAATTCGTTACTGGAAATATTCCGTCATGACGATTCTGTCGCTAGTTACAGCCCAACCGGAGACCAGCCGGAGCATACGCGACACAGCGGCTATTCAACTCGTGATGTCCGACATCAGTGACCCTCCCACTTTAGTACATTTTGGCGAATCCTGTCAGCAGCCCGTAACGTTGTAGCCGCGGTCCTTACCCTCAAATCCACATACCGATGTTCAGGAAGATCGTTCTACTGCTATCCAGAAAGCCAAAAGGGAGGGGGCTGGCAGAAGAGATACCATAACGGTCACACAGATGCTACTAACGGTTTGGAGGATATAAAGAATGCTGTTCACGATGGATGCAGGATCGAATAATACGTCAGGCACACATCACATCAGGTACGGTCACGTCAAGCGAATTAACTTCAGACAGCAGACTGTGGTACCTTAAGGGAACCACATCATATGAAACACCGGACAGCCCTGACATACTCCCGAAGTGGACGGCACCAGATCCAGGATCAGCATGCTCACTTCCTCAGGGACGAACTGACAGGCGGAACCACCTCCCTGGGCCGTCGCAACTTAGATCAAAGCAGTGGTTAGAAAGGTGTCCGGAGGCTAGCGGCTTTTAATAACCGAACACATCAACTAGGCGGATGTGTCACATGCGGGTCATGGACAAAATGGAGGCATGCTTTGATTGGTCAAAATGCCAGCATTTATAGCGCGACCTTCTGGAACATTCTGAGATGACCTTATAAATCCAGTAGTAGTAATCTTCCTTTGTCTCTATGAAGGGATGTCTGAAGCTACCGTGCCTGTTGATATACCATAGTGAGCGAGCAGGAAGACAAGGACCGGCATAGAATTTGCACGGCAGTCCGTAGAACACAACAGCTTCAGTTAACAGAAAGCGTACTTGTGTGGAAACAAGTATTTAAACAGCGCATAGGTGCAAGTGGCTGCGAATTCCCGTTGGGTGAAAGAATTCTAGATCCATCGGTTCAGTCGGGCGAAGTCAGGATTGTTTATATATCCGGTCCACTTCGTCTCGCTGCTCGGATGTCATGCTTGATCAGGTTGATAGCTACTTTTGCTTCAAATTCGCTGCCACGCGATAATGCGGCCTTTTTGAGCGGATACAGTTGGGTAGCACAACGATCTACATGCGTTAGAACGCTCGGTTGAAGCGTACGTGCGACCTGCTTTAGGACGTATCGACAACTGCAATCTGAAATAGCATTTTGTCTGGCATCATGAGGTTGCAGGGGAACTTCCGTAAGACCAAGAAAAGTATAGGACTCAGTAAGGGATCGAATCCTTGCCAATGAAGTTAAGTGCAATCGCCGCTCAAGACCTATACGGTTCTACGATAGTAGGTAGTGTACTTTTACATTGTATGATCGTGTGCCACAGTAACGTACATTTGTCGCATCGCTCAGCTGTAACGCCCTTCCGGTGTCTAGCTGCCATGCTACCCGAAGGGTTGGAATACTGCCAAGTTGCCCAGGCCTAGACAGGGGAAGTCGAGATTGAATTAAACCACGGACCTTCCGGTCAGTAAATTGGTGCTCTATCCACTTGAGCCATCTCGCCCCTAAGTCATTTGTCGCATACTACCTATTCGATCAATTTGCACTTCCCACCATATCTAGTGAAAATGTGGATTCAGCTGTCCAAACGTCAGCTTTTAAGTGCAAGCCGGAGAAGCATGGGAAAAGTCTTTGGTAGCTCATTGGTAAGTGCGTAATAGATAAACCAATGAGGTTTCAATAAATAGAACACGACAGATGAATTGACAGGCATGAATATTTTAGAAGACGGATAAATAGGGAAAACAATTTAGGAATACCTGACTTGGCAGAGAGAACCATCCATTCCTGAGGATATCACTCATAGAGGAAAACATCTCTGAGAACACTAAACCAACCTCCTAATTAACACTTTCACGAGCAGACAGCCGCATTCAATTGCAGCAACCAACGGAAATTATATCAGTCTAACCACGGCTGGTGCCATTGTCAGTAGGGTTAACAAATCCAAGGTTCGGGTGACTGTTCATACGAATTTGTTGTATGTTTCATCACTAGCTGAAAATAAGGTTCGGGTGACTGTTCATACGGATTTGTTGTATGTTTCATCACTAGCTGAAAGGACATCATCGGCGCACTGTGATAATTCCGTGATGCGTTCACAAACTGCTCGAATATCAATAAGGCAACCGAGAACACGTTTGTCAGTCTAACATCCTAATCGTTTAGCGTGCAGTAAAAATGGTGGAGACTGATACGGTTAGCTAGCCAAACTAGCTACGCAACTCATTTCCCACTGACTTGCTCTGCAACAAAAATAACACTGTTGGTGGAGAATCTCAAGTTGAGCTGGATATGATTCATCAAAACTTCATAGTACAGTACTCACTCTATCTAACGACCCTCTATACAATACGAGACAGCTCACTGATTAGGGCTGGAGAAAGCTTAGTGACTAAGACGCGAGCTGACTGACAGAAAGTTCATGGTCCGAACCCAGCCCCTGCATCTCGACTGCTCCTTGGGTAACCTGGAAGTATTTCGGTCCTTTTGCTCTCTTCAGGTGACATGGCAGCTGAGCATCTATCTTTTTTAATACGTTTTTTAATACTGCCGCGTCTGTGTACGGTAGTTGCAAGTTTAGGACTACAACCACTGTTACACTGTCAGAATTTGCTTGGATATTCCGAAGGACAGAGATAACTGTGTTTGTATTGAGGCTATCGATTCCTCCGGTGGATGGAAAATTTACGTTAACTGTTATTACCGAAACTCCGTTTTGCCTGGTGCAAATACTGCTACTTCGGCCCCATGTTTTCCAAGCCTATTCGAAATGTCATTGTTGGTGCTGAAAAGATGGGTAAGAGTCAGCAGCGTCCAGTTTACTTCCCTCAGGAAGTAACGAGGCACATGAAAATTCCCTGCATTACATGTAGCTTTCATGGTTATTGCAAACTGCAGCTTGTTCCGTAGATTCAAATGTGCGAGTTTTCATTGAAAGTTCATTCATCTGTCTCAAACAGGGGCAATTCTAGCTACTTCCTACAGGCTGCCTTTATGTGACCCCCTACATCACTATGCGTACTCGCTCCGATGGTTGCCGTGGCCCAAGGTGAACATGTATTCCACGTGAACGACACACATTAGAGTTGCGTTCGAGCAGCCTGTAAGGTGACAGATGGCATCGTTTTTGCGTGGTAATCACTACCAGTTCATATGGCCGATGTACCCTGTGGCGCTTGTTTGACGAAGAGCCAACAGCAAACCGAAATTTCGAGAAGTTAAGACTGTCGAAATAGTGTGCAGTTTATGACGGGAATAAAAACTAAATTGGAATGATAGGTCCAATATTGAATATGATAAGGTGAGCGACAGTTCTCGGTTGAGATAGCGGCAACTGTAGACGGGTCTATAAAAGCACGTGAACCCTTAGTACCCTTGATATGTTCAACAAGAAACATCTCATAATTCATGCAGTACGCCACTATTCTAAAGCACTGGTCAAAATTCTTCCACTACAGAACACCAAATCAATGGGTCTGTATTCCTCCCGCTGTACAAAAATGAAAGACTCATTCCACTTTAGCTCCTAAATTCCAAACACGCCAACCCAAAAGGCACTGACCTCTTACCCCCATGTTGTCAATTAGCTTCACTGCAATCATAGTGACAAAGCACATCGATGGAGCAGATCGATAGCTTCCTCAAGGTGCAGGCGAACACAGCCTACAGTTTGACGCGCGCAGCGAATTAGTAATCAACAAGCTGTCGGTCAGTCATCCGAAACTTAAAATCATCGAATATAAGACGCCATCTCACCACAAAGCACTCAGTAGACACTCGATCAGTTGTTCAAAAATCATTCGTAAGATCACAGTCCCAAATGCTAGCAATCTGTGAGTAAATGCTGGGTGAAACTGTGGATCTCGTGGATCTCAGTATCCGTAAAGTTCTGACGATAATAAATCCACTTGCGGATAAGATGTCATCTCTCTCGGTCACTACTTTTCCGCCTGTTCAGCCTTCGAATCTGAAATTTCATCCACATTAACTTGGTGATTTGGTCGCCGCAGTATATTTCAGCTATCTATCCCTTAGCCATGTAACCGAAGTGGAATATGAGAGAATCCCGGCACAAATCAGACACGGTCCCCGATCTAGATTACAATAACAGAGTCAGTAGTACGCTACAAGTATGGGATCGCTTGCTCCCTCAAGTATACAAAATCGGTAGATGGAAGAAATATTCAACGATTACGGTGACGACGGCAACATAGGTCGATATTTCGCCGCATCGTAGGAATCATAGTACTGGTAATATACCGGGTGATCCTAAGCTGCAAAAACTGTGCCCTTGCAAGGACACCACTAGTGAATGAGTTTAAGATCCCATCTGAAGGAAAAGAGTGTTTACAACCGAGAGCTGTCAGCGTACCGCGTGTAGGGCTTGAGTTCCGCGGAGATTTCACAGGCTACACTGCATCAAACTCCGTTTAAAAATATGCAACCATCCCAGGAAGATCAAAAGGAAGCAGCCAGTCTAAGAGCAGCAATACCTCGAATTACCCATCAATCATATAACTTGCACGTTGTATGCCAGCGACTGAACAGAAATGTCAACATGAGATGGACAGACGGGGTGCTGTTGCAAACTCCGTCATCCTCTGAAAATTTTGCGGTAGATATGCTCCAGGGGTTTCCGATCGTGAACGACCTTGTTCTATTTGGTTCAGATCCTCCAAATGTGCAATTAATTTTAAATAACCTAAATAATTCTGCCGTACCGTTTGTTATGCGCTTCGCGCCTGCGAATTGTAAACTGCGAGTGGATGGGATCAAACCCGAACCCCATTCTTACAGACCAGCCAATCGAAGTTGTGGATAGATTTCTTCATTTTGGCAGTTGTACAGGTCCCGGTGGACCAGCTGGAAACGATATTACTTTTTCTATAGGGAAGGCCCTTCAACAACTATGGAGCCGGCGTGACGCCAGTCTGTCGAAGGCACAGTATACACTACAACAGTGCGATCCCCAAATACACCATTGATTGCCACCATTTTCCGAATTTAGAACAATCGTGCATGAAATCATGATTTGTTCCAACAGCCACATTTGTTAAAACGTCCATGAGTACATCAAAAACGATAGTTTTATCCAGGATACGCTAGTTCAGACTGAGCAACGGCCGGGAGAGAGATGGCTCAGTAGTAACAGCGCGAATTTAATGACCAGAAGGTCAGTGGTTTTAACCCAACCTCTGCCTCTCGACTCCCCCTATCTAGGCTTGGCCAACCTGGTAGTATCCCAGCTCTCGTGCTTCCCTTGGGTGACATATAGCAGCTATGCACCGAAAGGGTGCTACAGCTGAACGAGTAACCGCCAAAGAAGTTTGAGAACTGGTCAATGAAAAGTGTCGAACTAGAAACCTTGCTCTTCCAAATGCAATTCGCTCCACTAAGTGTACTTTCTATTACATAAAAGATAATGCTGCGACTGAGAACCGTTTCGATACGTATTGGTGGCACATTTTCCGGTATTCGTGGTGTTAATTTGATAAAATCAGTTTGTATGGCGCAGAAAGCCTTTTTTCATAACATCCGTCTGTCAAACCCAAACAACCACTCATTTTCTAGTTTTTAGGTATGATCTTCATAGATGTTGCAATACTTTATATCTATGGACGCATTTTACTCTAGCGACATAACAATACAAGCAAAATAACATCTCGCCAGTTCTGTCTTCTCAATGTCCTGATTGCAAATGAAGACTCTGACCGAGAATCAATGGCTGGGAAGATAGTCAGGCTGCCTGCCGATATTGTTATCTTATTACAGCTTTTTTACAACACACGCGAAACAGACAGTCCAAAGGAGCAAACAACAGACAAACAGAATGATGAGACGTAGTTCAGTCAAAGGAACTAGAAAAGTGGAGGACGAAGGAATCCGAAATACTCCCGCTAATTAGTGGTTCCAAAAGCTAATAACTGCAGATCTACACATGAACATTCCAAATATATCAATCATGTATGTATATGACGCAATTTGTACCTGTGATTAGAGCCACCTTCTGCGTAAATGATATCATATCCATAGCAATCTAAAAACAAAATGCGACAGTGACACCAGTGTAGACAAGAAAACCATAGGAGAAAAATGCATATGACTAGAATATATTGAATAACAAGAGAAAAGGGAACAAACAGGTAAGTTGAAATGCAGTCATTATTTCGAAGTTTTAATAGAAGGAAAATCGACTACAAAGTAAGTGATATCACGCTTAAAATGCTCTAGTCATAGAGTAGAAAAGAATAAATGCAAGGGAGTTAAAGTGACAAGTTTTCGACAGAACCAGATGGCATTTCCATCGCTGCATTAGCTGCCTGTTCCATTTGATCATATTCATCCCTATGATACAAAAAACGCCGACATTCGCACAGTCGTTCGCCAAGAAGAATGGCTTGGCGGCAGTTCTTGATCCAAATAAGCGGCTTCGAGTGGTTGTTTGCGCCATGGGATCCCACTTCATTGACAGTCTCAGACAACTGTTCCCGGCAGCTGTCCTCTCCAAAGCATTTTAGACGCCTGCATGCTTGGAACAACGTCAGCGTTGGAACATACCTGCAGGAACACTCTTCCGGGATGTCTTTACATTCTGACATTTTAATGCGTCCTCCGAAATGCATCGCCTCAACGGTTTCCTCTCTTAGTGCTTTCAGAGGCATTTGATTCACCACAGAAAAGGTGTCGCGCCGACTGTGTTTATGCTTTATAGGATCAGGTGACCCAAATTCATCTCCCTCTTCTTCGTCATATTCTTCATCTGTTATTATGTCAGTTTACGGTATTGAAGAGCAAATCACATACAAATCTTTATAAGGCCAACACCAAGAATGAGCAACAAAAGCAGGCGATCTCGCATTTAGCCTGAGTAACTATGTGGCATCGAAAGTAGTACTGGAAAGAGGAGAACTAGAGTAGGTTGTCAGCAACGGTCCACACACATACCTGCTGTTAATTGAGGCACAGCTTTTCAAAATTCCGATGTCCAGAAGGCTGGATTTCACCCAGCTTTACTAATACCAGGCAGGTCGAACCTCTACAAACGGTTCTGGAAAGTAAAAAATGGATGTTTTGTACATGGAAATACAAAAATATACAACCTGTTCTTAGAGATATGTAGAGTCATTTGCTCACAAGAATCGCTCACAAGAATCACTCCTCATAGGAGAAATGTAACTGGAAACCCCTATTTCCGCCGATACAAACTGAAAATCTACCTCGTCGATACAATTGTAGCACTTTCGTTTCTTTCCAGACGGTGTGGAAGGAATGTACAAGAGTCACAATCGCCTTGTCTTGAACTCCTTGGGAAAACCTCAGGGATTATAGACACTGAAATGAATCACATATTCAGAGCCAACAGCATTCCTATAGCAGAACAAACGCCTTCAATCAGATCAGCCGGTAAGACTGGAGGGTACCGAACAACGGGCTTGAGTCCAACCCAATCCTGGCTTTTCGAGTGCATTCATTTGGGCCAGGAAACCATGGCAGTATTCTGGCCCCCGTGTTCGAGTTGCACAGCAGCTACACATCGGGTGTCACGGCTGGAAAATGTATTCAGTACGTAGCTATCTTATCCACTCGCTCCAAACCGAAAGTTGGTTTCCATACTTGCACTGCGACATCTGTAGCCCTGGCACACTACCGTCTCCATTGTACGGCTGTCGCCTGTTTCCGTTACCGGTGTATGACCTAGGACCACTACAGCTTCAATAACTGAATCGTACCGATTAAGTTCTCACCCCAGGAAATCTGAACTGGTCCTAGTGACCTTCCGCACGAAGAGACTGGACCTTATCGTGGAGGACCACTATTCAATAACTGAATCGTACCGATTAAGTTCTCACCCCAGGAAATCTGAACTGGTCCTAGTGACCTTCCGCACGAAGAGACAGACTCTTATCGTGGTGTGGCGGTTTGTGTACCTCGGCGACCCATTGAACTATACTGGGGGGTGTCCGCGCGACACTCACAGAGTCTCTCATACCAGGTTGGTCAATGGTTAGAGGTCAGACGAACACAGTCTCCTGGTCCTCCAGGTTGGGGGTTGGAACATGTATGGCGACTTGTTCCGTAGAAAAGGTAATGCATTTGCATTTCCCCGCCAAGCACCGCTGCCTTGCGGTTAGGCTTTTGAGCCAAAGGCTTTGGTTGAGGACCCTAATCGTCCTCCTGTCTAGGTGTGGGCGCCCTGGCAGTATCCCAGCCCTCGTACAACCATGACCTACACAACTAACAATATTCTCATGCCACATCGGCCGTCGCGTGGTGCCATCAGCCGGGTCGCCTTACTTGCTGCATACAGCAGGGCGGGTAAGCGAAAACAGGCTACTGCTGACGCCTCCCTTCTTACACTTTCACGTTTTCCGTCTTCCACCCTCCCCCGCCCAAATTTGAATACCTTATCCGCAGGTCCCAGCTCCAGGACTGACCGTTTTGCTCGCCCTGCATCACACTCAGCTGCAGCTTCTGCACGTCCGAGTTCAGTTACAACCCTAAACACTTCGAAGTCTGTTTTCAAACCCCGAAAGCCCGTCTACTTAGCCACTTTCAATGTTCGCACACTGAAGCAAGCAGGTCAACAGGTGGCTCTTGCGCGTACGCTGGATTCCCTCTGTATTGATGTATGTTGTCTGTCAGAAACAAGGACACAGGACGCAAGTACTGTAATCGAACTGACTGCCCCCTCGCTCTCTTCCAAACAATCCTCGAGTCAAAGTGTCTGAGGATCTCACGTGTTTAATCAAGAGCAATGGGAGACAGATTTTCCGTGGTTGTCTTTTTAATAATAATACTATTTCAAGAGAATATAAATCACCTTATTGAAACCGGCACGGACATAGTGCCGGTACTCGGAGATTTGGGTAGAGGCGAAAGCTTTGGGTAGTTGTTCTGGCGACTTTTGCCTTCTTCCTTCCAACAATAGGTGCAAGGGTGTCAAGTAAGAATTTGAGCTGGTACATCACTGAGCCTTATTGCCCAGTAAAATTCGCTGCCTCCGTACTCCATGTTGGCGGATTTCGAAGCACTAGGCTCGTTCTCCTAAACGTTTCATACTCGGCTGCTCAAGACCTCTTTCTACGATACATCCATTATTTTCGAGGATCATATCTTCTTCTGTGGAAGGAGACCCAATCCCATTGCCTGATCTGAAGGTTGTTACATTATACGTTTTTCTCCCCACATACATCTTCCTGCAACAAGCCGAAGGGAATCCAATGTCTCACCTGAAAATGCCATATTCTGCCTCTTTTACAAGACAAGTGACTGTAAGTTAGCAGGGGACGAGTGACTTGATCAACATGCTGGGAAGTGTTCGGTGGATTTCAATCACTGTTTGCTCATTGTTCACTTCCATCTTCATACGTTCTACAGAAACCGCACTTCGGCTGTTTATTTTGAACCTGGTCATCCCATTTTATCGTTTTTTTTATTATTTTGAATTGCTAAGCTAATGACTTATTGACACCTGAGTCATCGTATTTTTCCTAACGAACTGGAATAAAATCCAGAATGTTTGTTAAATTTCTCCTGTTCTATCCAGTGAACAGTTTTAAAGGCCTCACATGTTCAGTCATTTTAGTCGCGAAACAATGCCTTGCTTAAAGATTTTAGGCATGATGATAAGCAAAAGTGAATGCCAGTCATCTACACAAGTGTTAACCTGTGTTCGCTTCGCTGAGACTGACTCGAAAATTAAGACTTCCTCGTGCCAATCTCGCGCTGTATACCTAAGAAATGTAGTTGGGTTATGCAGCACCATCGCTGAGGTGCACTAGCTACCGGCGGTCTAATATTCCAATGAGAGAATCCCAGGACAGTCGAACTTCATTTGAGTGGCTTCCAATGTAGGCAGCTTCCCAGTTCCGTCTGAGGAGCCTACCAGGCGCAATTTCCAAAGTTCGGAAGGACCTCCTTGGAGAACGTACTGCTGATCATGTTTGTAGATCATGTACAAGCCGGGGTGGATAAAACCACAGAAAATTGAACCAGACTGCCTTTTGATGATGTCACCCCGTAAACGCGACTGTCAATATCCATCAAGTTTTTTCAGATGGCCGTCTAGGTTCAACACGACTTTGAACTACTCCAAGACTGATTTGTTCGCAGGATAAAAGGGCTACAACACAGCGATGAATTTGCATTGAAAATGCACACAATTTTGGAGCAAAACGAAAAATACAGTTAGAGCGACGGACACTCGGAGACTATACCTGTCTGATGAGCCTGGAAAGATCGGGACAGGTCGTGGTCTGTTGAGGAATTTTCAGTAACATTGGAGATAGTATGTTCCGACGAGTCAACGCGTTGTTGTTTTGAATATTGTGCCAACAGAAATATCAGTTGAGCAATAAGGAGAGGACCGCTGGCGAGAAATTCCGTAGGTGTTCACCACAATGAGTCACGTTTCTTTTCTCTTCTTTCTATATATTGTCATAAACCTGTCTCCCTACATTAGGCATACTATTCCCTGACGAGACGGCGCGTTGTCGTTTCGAATATTGTATCATCTGGAATGTCAGCTGAAAGAATTCCTGTGACTACCACACTGATTCGCGTTTCTTTTATCTCCTTTCAATATATTTTCATGAGTAACTGAAACAGCAAAGAAATTTTGATGCACTAATTTCTTACCTGTCGGAATTGTTTTCTAGTGAGAAGCAGTCGCTGGTTTTTCCGCCAATTAAGAAGGCCACATGTATGCACTCATTAGTTATCTGCTCAATTAGGGGTGCTGATACTATCCAACTCGATAATTGGGCTGAGTACTTTAAAAAAGGGAACAAAATTCCCGTTAATATGTTCATCACATAGGTATGGCGGATAACATCTAAAAATCCAGGCGAGTAGGATCAATACTTTATCGAGAGCACAGAGTAGCTTGGAGTGAACAATTTACAACGCAGGCCTGGGTTGTGTGCTACGGGACTAGACCGCAGAACAAGTAAAATCGCACGGACGAAAATCAAATCGTGCTGGATCGCTAAATTTATCCGACATTTGGACGGATCTGTTCAAACTCGCGGTATAACGCCTGCCTCCAGAATAATACTGGCTGTACAAAGTGAGGTCCGATGGAACAAGCCGACAAGTGTGCACCAAGATGTTACTTGAGAGTGATTATTTTGCTTATTTGTGAGGGAGAACTTAGAAGATACTTGATGGAAAGAAGGAAACGAAATGGGAAGCGGATATTCAGTGAAGTCTGGTAAATGGTCGTTAGATCCATTTCAAGGTAACATTCCGTCACTGGGACAAATGATCAGACGACCAAGTCAGTTAACAATAAATAGACCCAAACAAATCGGGGCTATTTNTATATATATATATATAACTAAACGAACTTTATGGTTGTACGGCAGTGAAGCATCAGTGCCAACACTGATGTTGCTGTCATTGATGATGATGATGATGATGATGATGACCTTCCAGAATTCGTCCCGTCATTTCACCAATGACAAAAGCAAAAAACGGCTAGAGTGGGCGTCCTTGTCGAACGCTGCAACACCCTCTCGGAGCCTAAAAGACCTACCACCCGAAAGGAGAACGACAGCTGGGATGCTGTCGGGTCGCCCAAGCCTAGATAGGGGAAGTCGACACGCAGAGATTGGGTTGGAACCACGAAATTTGCGGTCAGTAAATTCTCACTCTAACCACTGAGCCATTTTCCCCATATCCATACACTTTTATGCTCCCATAAGTATGGAAGTACATGCAGTGCATGGCAATCGCGAACTTCCGGGGCATACCCTATTGTCCAAACGTGTTGAAAAGAACGAATCGGTCAACAGAATTGAAGGCATCCTTGAAGTGAAACAACACCAAGACTCTAAGGCATCGCAAGACGACACAAGA